CCTCCCCCAAGGGGTTGGGGGACGAAAATCCCTTTAAATTTTCTCTGTCTTCCCAACTGGGATTGCCCTGATAAAGGGCCTACATTTAATGTATGTATGTAGGTAAAAGTAAACATGCACTGAAAATGAAGAAACTATATCGTTCAAAACAAATAAATTTAAAGGAAACTTTGGATCACCTAGCTTCGGGGAAGGATAGCATACGGCCCATATCTTCGCCACTTTAGAGTCTCTCAAATGAATGATATCACAATTGTTTAATTCTATGGAGCCCAGATGAAACAAGTTAACAATAAGAACAACGTGACGCATAGGCACGATACGCATTCAAATAACCTGTGGTTGGAAGAGGATGCGCTGTAGCACCACTCGAATCCAAAGGGAAGTAAGAGAGGAGGAAAGTGTGGCTGCTTAACACGCGTACGGTCAAGGGATCCCTGGATCGTACGCCGTCCAGGTCAACCAGACTTTTTATCCCTCCGGGATCGGGTACTTGATACCACACTTGTCGAGGAGGATAAAAGGACACCGACGACTCTCACACGTCATTGTGCGGGCCAAATTACATTCAAAATACCCTTACAACTCTAGATGGAAAGATATGTATTTCCAAAAAGGGATCGTCTACGTCTACTGCTTCATCTCCTTTATTTGAACCAATAGGATTAGCGCTGAGCACTTCATCGCCTCAAAGCATTATCGATAAGAAGGTCGAACGTGTGATGATAAAAGTGAGAAAGATGCAGGGATGTAAAAAAAGTGAGTAAAACTGAACGATGGCAAGACAGAAAGAGAGAGAGAGATTTATACCTGAACAAAGGGCAACAGGTGCGACGCAAGAAGGAAGTAATAGGAAAACCCATCAAGACGAGCGCTGTTAACCCTTTGGCGACAATGGCACCCACCGGTGGGCGCCCAATGGTGGGTGCCACCTTAATATTTCCTTATTTGCGCATTTGAAATATTTTTGACATTCTGGTAATTATTAGCAACCTTCATGATATCTATGTGTAGCATGCTCAATAGAAGTGTGTTATAGGAACTAATTTACACGAAATTTCAGTGTGAGGCATTTAGTTCGGCGGCTCATTAACTGAGGTTTTGCAACTGAAGATTAATTAATGATCAGGACTTTTCCATTTATCAGAGTCTTCAGGTACAAGGAGGAGTTTGAGTTATATCAAAATTCTATTGTAAATATGAACTTTTCGAGTTTTTAACCGCTCCACCCCTTTGAAGTTCAAATCCCCCTTCCAAACACTCAGTTCGCTTCCCCAACAATTTATAACATGAAAGCTCAAATCTGTATTTATATTTAGTATTTTGCCAAAGTCAAAAATAGAAAAACTGTTTTTAGGTCAATTTCCCGATGTTGCCCAAGATTTGAGCGCGCCAAAACGAGGCGTGGTCCCACGAGCCCGCGACGTGCAAATCCGCGTTGTCGTCCAAGGGTTAAGCACTGGCTCACTTTGCTCTCAGCCCTTCTTTATTGCTTCATGCCCTTCTCGAGACATCACTTATCCATCTAGATGGCATCGCTAATCGATAGCTTCTCTTTTAACTATCGAAATTATCCATTTCTGCGAAAAAGCTGGTTTTCACAGCCTTTTAAGCATGGATCGTGTAAGTATGAATCGGATTTTGAACGTTTCTTTAACTTATAGGAAGCCCCACGCTAAATTTGCAGAGTACGGAGAAGAAAGTGAGAGTTGACGCAATCAACAAGTGCAAGGAAAAGTCTCTTTTTCCACATTAAATTTATTCAAAAGTCCGGTTCCTGAAGTCCTGTCCGTTCCCTGCACTAACCAGTTAACCAGGATCACGAAAACCTCTCCTTTACTGACGCAGATCATTGCAAACCTCGAATATTTCGTAGGGAGAATTCGAAACCATTTGGAAGCAAAGAGTCTTTGTTCAATTCACAGCCAACCGGTTGCGAGCGCAAATGTTCACTTCTTAAGAGGCACCAAAGTAAGCACCCATCAATTCCCGCCACGGTAGTTATTCACTCACAGAAAACGGCGTTCTGGTAATTCGAATTGGGTGGAGTTGCTCGATCGTCGGTTGATTTCACAGAGTCCTTGGTTCACGTAGACCACCTCATCGATCAAACGCGTGACCTGAAATAAATGCAAAGGTAAATGCATCAGCCAACAATAGTAATATGTACATCTCAGTGGAGCATCATTTCCCTATTCTTTCATTATTACAACTTCTTATACGCGAGATGCTGTGGATCATAAACTTCACGAAGCAATGGCAAGGTTCCTGGATCGGATCACGTCCAGCGCATCAACATCCAGCTAGTTATTCACGACCTTTTGATACGAAAAGCTGGGTCGAATTCATGGCATATCCCACGAGCTTTCACTGAGCCTTATGCAATGGCTTGGGAGGTCGAATCAGCAGAGACATGCAAACAAGCGTGTCCTCAGGAAAACTTGGATTCATAGAAAGGACTCTGAGATTGAAGTGCCTAGTTAGGAAAGTGTTTGACTCCATCAACTTCAAAAGAGGAAAATAGCAGTTTCGACAACCACACCATTCTCAATTGATGAACACTGTCGCATATTTTATGAATCATAATAGTACCGATGAATATAACGAATTTAGAAAATAAGAAATGACAAAACCACATAGTATTCCTTACCTGGTCAACGTCTTCATCAAGTTCTTTGTTTATCTCGACCTTCCCACTTGATTTTCCATCGCCTCTCTTCTCATCAGATCGCGGTGTCGCCGGCTTCGGTTGAGATTCCGTCTCCCGCTGGTTCTAACACATAAGATGACAGTTTGAATTAGTGAACTCGAACTTGTCTAACTGGCATAAACTCACAGAGACTCTAAAGGAATAGGGCCAAGCTCGTTCAGCCTTATGTGAACACCCAGTAAGTGGCATGAATACTTGCAACTAATAACGAACGCCGATCAATGAATGCGCTACTCTCACAAACCCCTTTCATTTTGTGCAAGAAAAACATGTACTATTGTTGGGGAGCAGTTCCACTATACACCTTCTTTTGAATTGGTGGAATGGTTCACAATACTGTGAAAATTGTATAACTAATTCAACTATGCACAAAGCCGTGAAAATTCACGCATATAATAATAACATTCAAAGCAGAAACAACTCACTTTCAGCTTGATTTCATGCTCTTCCCGCACCCTTCGTAGCATTGCTTCCACTGCAGCACCACCTGTGACATCCGGCGGTGCAGCACTCTTCGTGTTTCCGTTTCTCGGAACACCTAAAACTCATCTCCTGCTTATGCATGACAGAAAATCATGCAGTTACAACAAGATCAAAAGAACAATAAGAGAGTTCCTGGCTGAAAATCCTCCCACATGCAATCAAAGAATTGTAACAGCAATATGATTATCCTAGAGAGCCTCAACGGAGTATGAAGCACAAGAAAGGAAATACTACTGAATCAAACTTTTTAAATTTCGGGCTGCTGTATTACAGGCAGGGACGGAGGGAGGGGATCGATCACACTCACTTCTCTAATATGAGTAACCATACCACCGAGAAAGATGAAGAAACAAGAATCAAGTCTCACAGGTTTCGTCGGTCAGGTCAACAGCGAAGCTAGGTTCATTCGAATAGATAGAATTCGCCTGATGGAAGATATTAAAAACTGAGAGAGGGGCATTACACGATGACTATCTCATCTTTTCATACTTCCTATCATTCGCCTTGATGTGGGTAAAACATAGCTTTGTCATCCTCATATGTATGCCCTCTTGTAGGTATAATTATGCTGATTCACTCCTTTCTCGAATTCAGTCTTGTTGCAGAGATCCGTGCCGAGGCCGTGCAACAAGCACTTGCTGAATATTCCCAAGGTTACAAAGTGCGTCCCAGCATTGTTCAGCCAATCAAGCGCCCCACTGAAACGCGGAGGCAATTCAGTCGAGCTTCCGGTATGTCTTTGTGTTCTTGCTGTCGGGTTATCTTTGATGTTATAGCGTAAAACACTGATAACGAGAGATTATTTCATCAGCTTAATTTCGTTGCAGATTCGTCGTCTGATGATGACGACAGCCTGGTGGGTTCGTTAAAGCGGAAAAATCAGCCCTCAAGCAAGCAGAACACTGGATTAGGTATTTTTCCATAGTATACTTTACTTGTTGAATTTCTTGCATGAGAAGTTCTTATATACTTTTTGCGTTGTTCGAATTCCAATCTTAGTATAGATTCGAGAGGAAACATCAAAATTCCTCTCACAATACCTCGTGAAAGTTTCGTCTGAAGAATTGTTCTCGACATTAAAAATAGAAACTCGGTGAACCCAGCGCCAATCCATTTTCAGCAGAGTGAACAAAGATGTGTCTTCTAATTGAGTCCTTCTCATCGCTCGATTTTTCAATCTGGCGTCCATTTTTAAGTAGTGATCACTTGGAATAAATCAAAGCAAAGGTGCCTGTGAATGTCCCACCCTGGTTTTCGATCTTGATAAGCGCTTGCGATTGGAATATCAGGTTCTCGTTGCCCATTCTACCCTAGCCTGTGTTTCGGGATCGTTATGACTTCACCTGCTCTCGTTGTTATGATGATTAGACTGGGCTTTTTTGTGATCAGGAAAGTTCA